GCTAGATCACCTCATCTTATTATTATTTAGTGTTCTGTCTGACGACAGGTCCATATGAACAGGATCCTTCCATCCTTTTCTCGGACTGGGACCTGTTCATATACGTTCTTGGCAGATGATCCAGAAGTGGTTTGCCATTGCCTTCTTCTGTGTGTGAATGGAGTAATTGTTGGGATGCCACGGAGGAAAACTCCGTGTTGCCTAGACCACGGCCTTGCCCAACACAAGTTATAAATTCGGGCACCGCCGGGAATCAAACCCAAGACCCCAGGATTACAAGGCCAGCGTTCTAACCGCTAGACCACCATGGCTTGTAGCTGCTCCATATTCTATCATATATCATCTAGGAACTAAACATAGGGCCCGTTACAGACTCAGTCCCACAGAGACATAGTCTCACCCCATCACATCAATAACAATAACAACAGCGGTATCCTCTTCATCTTACAATGATTATTTTCCTGCCTTTGAATAATTAAAATTACACAAGTTCTGATGACTGTTGCCTGTACAGCATCTGGAGTTTCATAACACCCAGTCTTGTTGCCTGGCTCTCCTGATCCCATTACAGTTGTGCAGACACTACTCTATACATTCACAGCCTTTGGTTTGTGATTGTATGAGTCTGCAACGTACAGAATTTTGTTTAGGTTACACCAAGCAACACCCAGAGGGTGCTGTAGTTTTGCGTCAAACTGCTTTCCGTCTTTGACCCCAAAAGCAAACAGATTCTGAAAATCACGAAAACATTTATCCCATTCAGTTTATATTTGATACACAGGGAAGAAGAAGGTGTGAATATCTTCACTGCTGCAAGAACTTCAAATCTCACAACAAACCAAATGTTTACTTAAAAGCATACTGAAGTATTTGAGTTTTATTAAGTCCCACCATCCAGCATCAAACTGCATTACGAAGAGAATTTTTTTCATAAATCAGCTGTGACTTACAAAGGGACTTTTGTCACACCCCACCACAGCCGACACCTTCCCATCTGTTAACGATATCTCGCGAATGCTGCAGCTCTCACTGTCAGCAACCAAGACGGTTTGCAGTTCGCTTGCTACGGTGAGACCCGATGGCTGTGCTAATCCAGCCGCGTGTGGGTATGAGTTGTTTCGATTTTCTTCTTTACTGTTGCCTACAACAGCAGCACAAGCGGAATAACTTTGCTTTCAGTCAGGTTAGCTGACATTTGAACATGGATCCTCCTGAACATAAAGATGGTCTGTTAACCACTTGACCTTGATCTTTGGTCACCGATGTATAAATACACAGTTAAATCTGGTTAGGAGGATGCTCTGTTACATTTTATATAAGGAACAGATACCAATAAGTTAAGTGGATTCACATCTAGTTTTCCGATTAAACATGTAACTAACTATACGCAAAATAAAGAATACCTGATTACACAAAAAATAGGCAATTACCGAACAAAAGGGATGTACATATTTAGAGCAGGAAGAGTAACGATCCATTAACATAAGTATTGCACCTGAAGTAATGTGAAATTACAAAAGTGGCTAAGGACAGCATTATAGTAGACTTAGCGCAAAAGTCGATCATAATACATGAATAACTTGGAAGACTGAAGTTAGGAGAGAGCAAAAATACGTTCAAGGAAACTAAGAAATAAAGAAGTAAAGATTCGGAAGCTGCTGATGCTTTCAGTACATTAAAAGGGGTAGGACTTGCAGCTTTATATTTAAAAGATTCATGTACCGTTAAATACCCATTATTGTAATTATCCCATCTACTGAAGCTGAGATAAGAATGTAAAATGAATTACCTAAAATCAATCATATGAGGTTATGATGAAATAAGATGACAAATTTTGAAAGCCTCTTGATCTCTGTTTATCACCCATTAAGTAATATCAAATAAGCAGATACAACTAGTGTGAAGAAATTATCAAATTTCAGTAGTAACTGTGTTTCCTGAAGCACTTGAGAAGGTTATGTACAGTAGGTTAGGCCATGAAATGAATGTTAATAACATAACTGAACATATTGGGCCCGGGACACTTTGGCTTCAAGGTACATGCACTGAAAATAATACCTTCATTTTGCCACAGATGTATTTATCAGTTTCCAGTGGTTCCTAGAGTAAGCAGCTGTTATGTCCTTAATTGCCACTGACCGCTTGCTTATTGGTGGTTATGAGTTGTGATTTATTTGAGGTTATGACTGAATGTTGAAGTGTTTAAGACTAGATTGTGCTTGATAGGTTTAAGAAAATTGGGTGGTAGCCTGTGAACTTGATTCATCTGGCTCAGGATAGGGAAAGGTGGTATGTTCTTGAGAACATGTTAGTGAATATTTGGGTTTAGTAAAAGGTGGGGAATTTCTTGACTTTCTGAGGGACTGTACTTTGTACTTCCTGTCATGTCAATTTCATTTGCATTTAACGGCTACTCAAGTGCCTCAGTCCATGGTTCAAATATTTTCTCTTAGCTGTATAGAGTGAATGTGAAAGACAGTAAAATATTCTTAATATGTAATTTAAGAAATTAACAATTTAAATGTAAACATCTTAATTGATTAAATAATTAATTAATTTGTAGTAGACATAACTGCCTAGCTGGCCATGCTTGCTGCTTCAAGGAAGTCAAAATATTTCTATTTGAGGGGCCTCTCCTAACCTCATAACTCACCAAAAAATGAAAAATACAATGGAGAAATGTTTGGATGATCGAAAGGGTTGACTGTTGCTATTT